TTAATTTCATTACGAAATTTATTAATTAAACTAGAGGCTTTTATTAAAAAGTTTTAATGATGAGAACATAAAATGATAGAATTTGGGTCGTAACCATATTCGTCAAAAAAATAAAAGTGACTTGCAAAGTGTTAAGGGGCGAACGTTCACGTCTATAGGCGTGGCTGGGTACATGATTAATCTACATTAATGTCACACAAATGGGTTAGACCAATCGGAAAATTACTACGAAAACAGAGAAAATTAGGCTAAAATGGAAGTTAAGTATATAGCATTACGCGTAATAGTTTAATGTCCTGCTACATACCTTCCTTTGTTTTGCTCAACTTTGCTGGCCCCCCTTTTCCAACAAAAATGGAGAACTCTATCAACTATGTGAACCTTTTTTTTATATTATTATTTATATAAGGTGGCAAACGAGCGAGCAGCCACATGAAATCACTGAAATAGCGAAGTGACCGTTGCCCATAAACATGTGCAAATACATATGCATTGCCTACCTTAAATCGACGAAGGAGAGGATGCACAGAAATAAAATATTTTCCCCTTCCATGCATCCTCTCATTCGGAAAGTCCATTTCCTCTTCCCATCTCTTCCTTATGAAAAAGGGGTGGGAAGGGAAAAAGGACTAAATTTGGCCTCCGGGACGCACAATCATCAGTCGAAACGCGGAATTGCTTCCACTTCACGCCTGTCTTCTGTGTGGTATTTCACCGGGCGAGCCGGGCCAATTCGTGCGAAGATGTTAAAGCGGGCTCTACCACTGTAAGCTTACACAGGACATAATCAATACGGTGTTATTTTCTAATTCAATTTACAATAGAATAAAATATAATATAAAAAAAAACAAAACAGACGGACAACGGAACGGTACGAAACGGAACGGAAAGGAACAGAACAGAACAAAACAATTTTAAAAACACATTTGTTTTAATTTCGTTATTTTCAAACTGAAACCACCACACATAAACCTAATTTATTTTAATAAACTACAATAATTTTTGCGAAAGACCGCGTAAAGCCAAACAAGTAACAATTACCGGGTCTCGTGGAAGATAAACATGGTACCCCGAGTTTGAAACCACGCACATGTTTTAACTGGCCCTTGCTAAATAAGGCCTACATAAAATTCATTAATTTAATTCTACTTAATGTTTTTCTATTTCCTCTTAGATTTTTTATGGACTGCACTATGCTTCTCTCGTTCCCCCTAACATATTTTGGATCAGGGACCTAGGGTGCGTGTGTTCTTTATTATAAGAATTTTAAAACTTATAATTTACATAAAATCTTATTCTAAAATCTGATATTGCAACTCAAAGTGTATTTTATTTGGCAAGAAAAATTAAATTATCATCAATTTGTCATTTGCTATCACATTAAATGAGTAACCGTGGTTTTCTGAGTTCAAAATCTCTCTTTAAAACATAGTTATGCCTACGATGTCAAAGATAATGACAAGGATAAAAAGTCAAATGAAGGTCAGAAACCCACGGTAAGTAGTTTTTTAATTAAAAGGAATTAAGATTTGTAATTTAATCATTTTGAAATTTCCTTGTATTTATTAGGACAAAAGTTTAATTAGTCGTACCTCGTTTATCCGTCACAGTACACAAAGTTTATAGGCAATGTTCCTGAACGGCACTTTGATTGTTACGTGACCTTCACACAGTATTTTACAATGTTAATCTAGTACCTATATTATCTTAGCTAATCTAGCTTTAATGAAGTATTATCTTGTTGTATTTTATTATATTGAATAACGCTGTATCAAATCATCAACATCACCTCACTATACGTCCCCACCGAGGGGCTCGGAGCCTACCTTAAGTCAAGGGTGATTAGGTTATAGTCAATCACGCCGGCCAAGTCTGGGTTGGTTGACTTCACACATATCTTTGGATTTCTTCTCAGATTGTGCAGGTTACATCACGATGTTTCCTTCACCCTAAGAACGTCGGATAAATGTATAATACATATGTAAATCAGAAATCGAAAAACACATTGGTACATGGCGGGATTCGAACTCAGGATATGCAGATTGTAAGTCAAGTGCAACCCCTGAGCCACCGACGCTCATGTATCAAATACTTCTATATAATATAGGTATTTAAATGACGCTGTTCTTAGTTAAATATCGTCATCCCTGTCATAATTTTTGACAAAACAGAGATAACAATATGTTTTAAATGGAGCTTTTAGTTTCAGAAACTCATGGCCATAGAAGAATACGAATCAAATGATACCAATCACAATGAAACATACATACAAACCCTCATATACATAGTAATAAATGTTGATTAACAACTTTTCAATGCTTCGTTCGTATTTCAAAAGGTAATTAATCTTACACAGATGATGGCATTTTATGTTCACATTATCATACCAAAATTGTTTTTAGCATAAAGTTGGCCTAAAATTAATTTTAATTTAACGGTTCCATTATATATTCTGAGAACGGTTCAATACAATCGAACACGAACAAAGGACTCAAATAATTACATTCTTTTCAGATAGTTGAATATATGAAATCGCACATTATTCGTGCAAAAATTTACTTTTTTGGAAAACTACGACTGCCAAGAGGGCAATGTTTTAAGGAATATGTATTTTATCCATGTTTTATTATGACCTTTAGCTCAATTGACTAAAATTACCTATTACTAATAGTGCGGTGATAATGAATTTATATTCTTCTTTTATTACTAGCTTGCGTAAGTTCTTATTAAATCATTAATTGTTTTCTTTTCTATCACCCTTTTAGTACAAGATGAAAATAACAGTATTTATTGTCTTGAAATATCTACGCTAAAATTGAAGTAGCAATTAAAAAAAACCGACGTTGCCATCTCTAAGCATTTTTTCAAAGCTGAGATATCGGGAGCAGATGTTGTCTCTAGATTTGAAATTTAAATTTTGCCAAAATCAAATTACGTTTTTTTAAACACATTAATTATTTTTATACATTAATAACACTCGCTTCAGCTCCGTTCGAAATGGTAGATTTAGTTCTACGTAAACTAAATGTGCAATTAATAAAATTAATTTAACCATTTTTTTCCTTAAAACAACTACTTACCTAGAACCTAATAAAGTGCCTAGTGTAGACTAATTATCTATTGAATTCTTAGCGTTGTGGTCTAACGCCTGTGATAAGTGCATAGCAAATTTATGCGGAGCAAACATTTATATTATCTTAGGTAGCGCCTGCTGCTTAAAAATAACAAAGGAAATTTTACTCCTTTCTATAATAACATTGAATTTTTTCTTAATCATCTGTTAACAAAAATCTTTCGAAAATTTTACTATGATGGTATCGAATGTTATACGAGCCTGTTACATGTAATACGACATAGAAAAATGTTATTGGAATTTGCTCACTTGTGAAGAATGACGGTTCGAACCTTTGTCGACACAAATCTCTTACGAACAGAGGTTGTTCATAAGGATATCAAATAACACTGACTTCCTTATTCTGTAAAATTTCGTATCAAATATATAAATAATTAAAAAAAACCCTTGTAGATATTTCGTATATTTATAATACTTGTCGCCCGCATCTCCCTCCGCAAGGATTAAAAAAAACTTAATAAGTTGGCTATGTATTCTTCCAGATTATATTCTACATCTGTACCAAATTTAATCAAGATCCGTTCCAGTGGTACCTTCCAACAAACATCCATCCATCCAAACATTCCCATTAATATTAGTAAGATTGGCTTGTATACAAAATCTTCGATAACGTTAATAGTATTATAATTTGTTGCATACTAACCAACCTATTACGAATTTTCTTTTTAATTTTTATGCACTAAAGTCTGATTAAACAGTTATGTTCCTTATCTCTCAACCTCTTAATATAACCTCGAACCTGGCTGGATAAGCAAACGTCCAAGGGACTGCAATATTTTTCTCCCTTATAGAGGTATCTTCCTGACCCGAGTTGCTCGCTATTGACGATCGTCCATCGGAACCGGACAATGACTCTAACTAATAGTTTTCTCCACTTTATAAATATGATATATGAATCCATTAACTTAGAATCATTCTTTGTGTTATATTGTATAACATATAATAATATTCTTGATACAATTCCCCGTATAAAATTAAGGCGATAGCTAATTATTCCATTTTAGTTTGTTGCTAAACATAGATGAACAATTTTCTCACATGCATTAAAATTCTAGCGCGTCGAGTTTACCTTGAATTATTCACAGAAATTTCTTGTGCTGTGTGTTGGTATGATATCCGAAAATATGTTAATTATTCTACAGCTCCAGACATATAGCCCTCGTCTCGAGAGAATACGAAATGCACTCAACATTAAGAATTAACCTTAATAGCATTAACATGGAAAATAATAAACATCTTACTGTATATAATTCTAAACTGACGTCATATTGCACACTCACACACACTCTGAAGAAAAACGTGTATTTTATGTCATCTCATTCCTAAAAATCAGCAGAACGCTTGACCGGTGCTACGTCACAACTGAAGAAGACAGACATGAAGAGGAAGTCTTTTTTAGTCACTCTATCAGTGTAGTGCTGGAGACTCTTTTCCTCCTTCAACCATTTATGATATGAATACGGAAGAATACCCGATTCCTGCATCTCTTTTCTGTACATTAAAGGTAGGCAACACGCCTGCATGTTATTTTCTTATCACAAATACCATGTGATGTCCGGCTTCTTCGTTGCCACCGTATTAATAGACAGTGCATCTTATCAGCAGGCAATTATGACTCAAGACTAAGGTAACGACCGTGTTACTTGCACAGATTACAGAATTATAATCCTGCAACGAGTTAGATCGCTTCTCTAAAGTTTTCTACTTCCATGTTCCCACGCGGTAACCATACAGTCTCGGCTCCTTAGAACTAATTAAAAACTTTCATTCGCCACCAGCGTAGGAAACAAGTAATTTAATAAGTCCAGATTGGTAGCGATATGTGTGATGTTAACAAACAAGAAAAACGTCCGCTTTTGTATCAACCGGCGTTTTAATGTGCTTAGTTGATAACCGAGAGCCGTGTATGGCGCTCGTGCATGCCGCACGAACACTCCGTAGCTATCGCGCGTTCATATTCTCACACATTTCTTAAACCAACTATTCATTAAAAATTCCTATATAATTTCATACAACTGTGTACTCTTTACTAAGTGTATAGAATCATTCAGCATCGGATCCAATATACTGAGAGAAATCAACAGAAACATCAAGAGAGTTACGAACAACAATTGATTCAAGGTAAGGCTTTCTTTATTACCTAGTATGCTCGTTGCCTAGCGCTTTGTACACGATCATTATACGGTCTAATGATCTTGCCTATTCAGTTCAAGTTAGTTAATTTAAATGACAAGTTAAAGTCAAGTTAATGTTTATTTAGAGGGAATCATTACCTTATGTCGTTGACTTATAACTTTTTTTTAAATATTCTAAACGAATTCTACAATAGGCCACATATTAACTGTATGGTATGAATACAAATTATTGTTGGTATTTTATGACTCGAGTATATTAACTATACGACCCGACGTTTGTTTACCTTTTGCTTGTATAAATTTGTTTGTTATGTGGTTCAAAGGAAGCTAGATCTTCTTTCTCTCTCTTATTAATATATTTGATATTGTTTCCTTACTTTTTTGGTCAATGCCATTTGTTAAAATACTTTTTACGGTGACATTATTCTGCATAACAAATTACTTATCGAAATATCGAAATCAATTTAAGTTTTATCTGAATTATACATCACAGTTACAGTAATTTAAAAATATTAAGGTTTCAATAGTTTTAGCTTTGAGAAGTATGTCTCAGGTTCGAATCTTAAATAATAACTCCTCTCTATAACTGTAGCTATTAAGTAGTTAACGTTTATATTGGACCTAATAAATATGTTCTCGTATTTCAAGGGATACGAAAATAGATAAATAAGAGGTAGTAGTAGCTACGTATATTATTATTTTTTTCATTGTAACCTAATAATCGTACAAAATATTTTAAATGGTTTTCGCAATTAGATTAAGGTATTATTCAATGGTTTAATCCGATAAAAATTTTGGTCAAGAAAAGTGCTAATAATGCGTAAAAGCATTCAACATTTAGCACGTACATTTCTTGCCATCGTTATTCAAAACACGTTCACTTACCAAGAAAAAGTTTCAATAAAAGATTTTGATTAGAGCTGTTCCATTTGTTTTAGTACAGGTTTTTTTTAAAAGTCTTATTTATAAAATCTTTTTATCAATCAGCTGAGTACTTTTGTAATTTTAATGTAGTGACGTACTTTTATTATAGTGTATTTCATATTGGGACCTTCAAAAGTAGAGTGAATAGGCACTTACTAAGCTAGCGCGTACCATCTTTCGACCAAATCTCCACTTCACCAGGTGGGATCGTGGTCAAGCGCTAGCTTATGAAACGTAAAAACAAAATAAAAAAGTGCAGTTTCACAATAAATAGAATTTTAAATGAAATTGGAGAGAATAAACAATTTAAAAGTGTATTCAACATAATGAACGCTTAAGAAAAGTATTAAATTTTGAATTTTTATTAAATTTTTAAAAATCAATTTACGCCAAACCAATAAGCCTGCTTATACCCCCAATGACACTCCGAGAAAGACTATAAATCGAATGACGCCTCATTCTTCCAATATCATGAAACTGTTTAGAATTTATGTTGATTTCAAATAGTAAATAAAACTTTTTGGCATTGCATTTTCATATCCTTAATCTTTATATAATATCTTTCATATATTTTTTATCTTAAAATTATTCAACTCCAGCAAATAAGACCGGTTTAAGGACAATACTGAAATGCTCTGTTAACCACAAAGTTTCTTACGTCATAAGACATATGATATATTGACTCGCATAAAAAGCAACATATAATAGACAAATACATTCGATGTAGTACAGACTGAGATGCAATTTCTTATTACAGGAATCTTGTTTAATTAACCGATACCTTTTGTATGTGCGTGAAGTACGTAGATATTATCTTACTTCTTACTAATATTATAAATGGGAATGTTTGGATGGATGAATGTTTGTTAAAAGAACATGTAGAATATAGCCTGGAAGAACACATAGATAAAATAAACTTAATAAGAAGCATCAAGTTTTTTTTATCTTTAAGCGGACTAAGTCGACAGCTAGAGTATGTCTGATAATATTTGGCTAGATTTCTCATAAAAACTATAATTCATTTAATAGTTATAAAAGACTAGTAATTTAATTCATATTTAGTCATCATTATGAAGTATTGAAATATCTTAAGTAATAACGTTGTGTTCATCACTTTTATTTTTTATTTAATACGTAAACAATAAATTTATCATAAAACATACTGAGAAAAAAGACTTTCACTGCCTTTGACATATAAATTGGTAACATCTCTACAGCGAAGTAGTATTTAAGGGCGTTCCTCAAATAAATTACACCAGAATGGTATAAAATAACAATTTAATCAGTATTCGAACCCATCCATTAAACATTTACATAGAAATGTTCTTTACGCAAACTAACTTGTATTGTTTTGAACATAATCAATGACAATCTATAAAGCAAATATCTTTATACAGCGTGTCCCAAAATTCAACGATAAGCCGGTACTGGTGTATCGCCAGATCGATAACTATATGAGGAAAAATACTAAAAAAATTCAACTCTTTTTGTTTAATAGTTACAGTAACTTTTGTAAAGCAAACAACTCTTCTATCATAATACAAATAACTTTAACGAAACGAAAAATCTAACCAAATTGTTATTATTTTATTTTACTTATCTAACAATGAAAAGTCTTAAAATAACTTATTTCCACAATAAATTACATCTCAGAGCGAAGATCGGTTTACAATTACTTAATTTTTGTTAGTATTTTACTCGTAACAACTTTAATGAGGTATCGTCTAAAAATATTAAACAATGCCATGAATGAAGTGGTTCAAATACCTCAATTAGGATCGCAACTCGCTAATAATGTATATTGCCATTTATTTGAGTAGTACTGACGTCATGGAGTCGTACAGAAAAATAGACATAAATAGCTACAGGGTTTTTATTAAGTACGAACACTGTATATACAGTATGGATTTTTTTCTGGTTCAAAAATATATACCTAAGTTTAATTCTATAGTATAAATTAGAGCTAATTTTTAATGTCTAAGTTTAATTGTTTAATTATTATTTGCAAATTCTCTTTAAAAGTTAAGTAGTTTTAATAAAATTTACAGATTTAAAGTACAGTGACATAGTTTCACAAATACGACATTTTCGGAACTAGGTAAGGATTTTAAACATTCAGATTTTATGTGGTCTAGAATTTCGTATGCATTGTACAACTGTGTAGTAGGAATGTAAAATATTGAATATATTACATTTAAAGCCAGAACATAAGTGCAGTATTTTACATCTGCTTTATAAAAAATGCGCTCACAATTTTATAATTTAAAATTTTATAATTTAAAATTTTATTTATTTAAAAAGATTAACAGCAAATTGATTATTATTAAATAGATAAAATGTTTATCTATGTTTTTTTTTTGTTATTGTTATGTGTTATTTACTGTTATTATAAAATATGTTATCGTATAAACTATTATGTAGTACTCTATGTGTATGGTGTCAAATTGGTTATATACTGTAAGGATGCTATGCAGTTGTTTTTAAATAAAAAAAAATTAAATCAATAGTTTTTTTTTGGAAGATTAGGAGGCAAATGCGCAATTGGAACACCAAGTTGTTCATCGATGCCCATGGACATATTTTAATAAAATATTGCAAGGAAACTACGGTAGTACTCTCAAAAACATTTTACCTTACCTCACGGGGCTAAAATGCTTGCTAATCGTGAACTTGAAACATTAGTAGTTTTATGAGGTCTATTTTCCGCAAATCCATGGTTAGCGCGTATTTTGCGTGACATGAAACACTAATCATTTAATTAAATTACTAATAAATTACTATTCCTAATAATATTTACTTAAGATATAAGACTAAGAAAAGGACATGCTTTAAAGAAGTTTACATAAACTTTTAAACGTATTCTATATATAATACTTTTAAGAAGCGACTCTTTTCTAACCTTGATCATCCATCATCATTATCCTTAATTGATAATTTCTCTCACTATGATAATCTTTTTAAATTTTATGTTATCTCTTTATTTGAGGACATAATTAAATTAAATTGATGACAAACAGGACATGCGGGTTAACGGATATCAAGTCATCAGTTCTTTGTATTTTATAGTTGTGTAAAATAACAAATGTACCAAAGTGACCCTAATGTTTTTACGATATCAACTAAGCTTAAATCTATACTAGTAGAACAGAACAGAAAGCTGACAATCGAAAAGTTTATTAAGAATAATATTAGGTGCGCAACTAAGTTCTCGCTTTTTTTTTCGATAAAAATATAACTTTATTATTAAAAAATGGTTACAAATGAATTCGATACTATTATGTATTTTAAATTGAAACGTAGAACAATACGCGTCAAATAAATTCTTTTCAAGCTGATGTGACTTGGAATCCTTTTAGAAAAGTTTTTTATTTCTTAAAATCACCATCAAGTTGGGCTTATCACATGCTCTCTAACTAAATTATTATCATCCTGTCCTTTTCCCTACTTGGTTCGTTTCTTGAATTTGTAAAATTCACTGTGGACGCCCTCAGTCCCACAACGGGGACATAGGAATTTAAGTCATGTCTATTTTCCTTACGTAGGAATGGCAGAATATGTTCTGCTCTTCCAGACATTTCCATCATATGTCATCTGGATTCACTTCCTTCGTTCACACTACATCTATATTGTTTTTAATTTTACATTCATCAACTGAATGTTTGATAAGAACAGCGTTCTATAACCAAGTAGATAAAGCCAATTAAAAGTATTACGTAGTACAAAGAAGTGATACAAACAAACATAATTAAAAGCACATTATGAGTCATGTTAAACTATTACACTCATGATATCCGAATTATCGCTGTTACTCAGTAAGCAGCTACGTAAAACCTTATCATAAACGATTTTCAAATTTGTTGAGAGACTACAGCTGTTATCTTATATTCGTTAAAACGTTTGTCTTCCCAACAGAAATAATTAAGTCATTTTCACGTAATTATTTAAAAAAAACTTTTACTGAAATTAATAAAAAAATTAAAAAATCACAGACGTCAAAAGACTTACAAAAATGCCAAAGCTCAGTTTTTGTAAGTTATAACATGGCTGTATAATTTATTTTTA